GCGGCGGGGGGCGCGGCGGCGGGCGGCGGGGGCACCGCCGAGCTCACGCGCGGCTTTCTCCCGGTGCGCAGCGGTGGAGGAGACGGACGCGGGGCTGTACACCTGCAACCTGCACCACCACTACTGCCACCTCTACCAGAGCCTCGCTGTCCGCCTGGAGGTCACGGACGGCGGTGAGTGCGTCCTCCGTCCCCGCCCCGGCCCCGGCCCCGGCCCCGGCCCGCGCGCCGCTGACCGCGCCCCCTTCGCAGCCCCCGCCACCCCCGCCTACTGGGACGGCGAGAAGGAGGTGCTAGCGGTGGCGCGCGGCGCGCCTGCGCTGCTGACCTGCGTGAACCGCGAGCACGTGTGGACCGAGCGGCACGTGGAGGAGGCGCAGCAGGTGGTGCACTGGGACCGGCAGCCGCCCGGGGTCCCGCACGACCGCGCCGACCGCCTGCTGGACCTGTACGCGTCGGGCGAGCGCCGCGCCTACGGGCCGCCCTTCCTGCGCGACCGCGTGGCCGTGGGCACGGACGCCTTTGAGCGCGGCGACTTCTCGCTGCGCATCGAACCGCTGGAGCCCGCCGACGAGGGCACCTACTCCTGCCACCTGCACCACCACTACTGCGGCCTGCACGAGCGCCGCGTCTTTCACCTGACGGTGGCCGAACCCGACGCGGGGCCGCCCCCCCGGGGCTCGCCGGGCAACGGCTCCAGCCACAGCGGCGGCCCTGGGCCAGGTGCAGGAGGCCGCCCCGGGACCCGGGAAGGCGGGAGCCCACGCCCCCGGGGCTGGCCTGACGCCGCCCCCTCTCGCCCCCGCAGACCCTACGCTGGGGCGCGGCCACAGCGTCATCAATGTCATCGTCCCCGAGGGCCGGGCCCACTTCTTCCAGCAGCTGGGCTACGTGTTGGCCACGCTGCTGCTCTTCATCCTGCTGCTGGTCACCGTCCTCCTGGCCGCCCGCAGGCGCCGCGGAGGTGAGGCTGCCTCGGAGAGCCAGCGGCCCCAGGAGACTCGGGGGGCGGGGGGCGGCCCTCTGGGCTGGGGGACTTGTGGAGAGGGCGGCACTACCCCGATATGTCTCCTTCCCAGGCTACGAATACTCGGACCAGAAGTCGGGAAAGTCAAAGGGGTGAGTGGCTCCCTCCAGGCCCTCCTAGGGACCAGCCCACCCCCCCAACCAGCTGTAACCTCCTCCCACCCTCGCTTTCCAGGAAGGACATGAACTTGGGAGAGTTCGCTGTGGCTACTGGGGACCAGATGCTTTACAGGAGTGAGGACATCCAGCTAGGTGAGGGGTGCTGGGACACCCAGGCACAGGTGCGGCTCCTAGGCCTGGGCTGGGAAGTGCATCCTGGGAGGGGGGACCTCAGCCTGCTCTCCTCCCACAGATTACAAAAACAACATCCTGAAGGAGAGGGCGGAGCTGGCCCACAGCCCTCCACCCGCCAAGAACGTCGACCTAGACAAAGGTGGGGGAGCACCTCAGCCCGTCTCAGAGCCCACCTCTTCTCTCACTCCACCTCACCCGGGACCCCCGAGGGCAGGCACCAGCCAGCCCCGGGGCCCTGCCACCTGCGGCTCAGAAGCTGGGGAGTGCTGCTGGGGGTCTGGGTGCCTCCCACTGGAATGAGGTGGAGAGCAGACCCTGACTCCTGGTACCCTTGGCTTCCAGGGTTCCGGAAGGAGTATTGCACATAGGGCGGCCCTGGGCTCCTGGCTGGACCAGCAGCTGTGCCTCTCCTGTCTGACCCTCAGGGCGTCTCCTGATGTCCCGGGCTTGCCCCCTTCTAGCGGCTGGCCCCGCTTTCCTGGAACTTGGCCTGGGCGTGTGCAGAGGTTGCCTCCACACTCCTCTTCCAAGGGTTTGGTGGCCGCATAGCCCTTGCCCCTTCAGCCTTTGCTCACAGGTGGCCTTGCCCACCGCTGGCACAACAAAGATCCCCCGGATACCCATCAAGCCCTCAGACCCTCCTGGCTTCTGCCCGCTGGGGGCTGAAGACATTCCCGGAGGACACTCCCGTCAGAGCCTGGCAGTCTGGCAGCTGCGGTTAGCATCAGGGAAGGAGTCCCCACTCCTCCCGGGACGCCGCCTGCCACTGAGGGCTTCCAAGGGCTCCTGTGCCATGCACAAGTCCAGGCACCATCTGTTCTGCCCGGAGACCTGGTGACTCGGCGAATGCCAGCCCAGTCCTGGACCCGCTGTGCTGCTTTGGGCCACCTGGGGCTGCACCCCCCACCCTTTCTCTGCTTCCACCCCTACCCTAGCCTTGCTCCCAGCCACCTGACAGTCACTGGGCTCCCTGTGATTTCTGACTTGACACTCCCCCCTCGGCCCCTGCCTGGGCTGGAGTCTGGGGCTGGGGTCACATTTGGTTTTTGTACTGGCTGAGGACAAGGGAGGGGGTGAACGTGGTTTGGGGTGGCTGTGTTGCCACTCTCAGCACCCCATGTTTGCGCCTGCCACCACCACAATAAAGGCCATATCTGATTTTTAGATTTGGCGCAGGTATGCCTCTGAAATCCCATCTCCTGGGAGTCCCCACATGCCTTCCTCTGTCCACCTAAAGCCCCTGCCACGGCGTAAAAGGTCTAGGTCTGGGTTCTCTGGGAGCCAGTGTCCTGGGAAGGGGACATTTGAGCTAGTTCTGTGTGGCGTGCCTCTGGTTGTGAAAAAGTTGAGATCCTCGAGGGTGGACCTGGACGTGGGGAGGGGGCGTGGTGAGGACCCAGGGGAGCAGCTCTCCGAGACACAGCAATGGGATGTACTGGGAGTGAGAGTAGCGGGATGCAGGTCTGACATTTGTAAAGGGGGCCGGAGCAAGGAGGCCTCAGCAGAGGCAGCCGGAACAGCAGGGCAGCTCCCAGAATCCTGGCCAGGCCAGCACAGACCTGGCCCTAGAATCCTTTCCCGCTCAGTTATAGGCCGGTCGGGCCCAGAATCTCAGCACAAATTCAGGGGGTACGCGGGGGGCAGGGCGGTGGGGACAGGAAGGCCCGCGGCCCGGGGTCCTGGCAGCACAGACCGGCGACAAAGGGCTGCTTCTTGAGGCCGGCGTCACCACCCAACCCCGTCCTCCAGTCCTCCCAGGACAGTGGGGGTGGAAAAGGGTGCTGTGGCCCACGAGGACCCCACAGCAGCACAGGTGGGGAGGGAGGCTGATCTGGGGAGGTGTGGCTTGAAGATGCACCTCGCTCCCAGCCCGTGACCTCTGGCCCCGCCAGTGCCCACAATGTCAGGGACAAGGTTCCTCCTGGCAGGGCCCCAGCTGGGCCACGTCTGCGGCACGGAACTGGCTCAGGCCTCTGGCTTCCAGCCTCTCTGTTGACTTGTCTGGGGTCAGGCCCCGGCATCTGTGTGGTTCCTCCTCTGCTCTGTGGCCGCTTGCCTGGGGCAGGGACTGGCTTCCTCCCTTCCTAGGCCCTCAGCGGACTGGCCCTCTTAGGTCTTCCTGCCTGGCTTCCAACGAACGTCTGGGGAAGCCGAGCGCTGCGGGGAGGTGGCCCAGTTTCCAGGCAGAGCGGGCTGGCTGCCGAGCTGGCCGGGCTTGGCTGAGCGGACGCCACAGCTCTCCCGCTCAGAGCCGGGGTGCAGGCCGGGCCAGGACACGGGGTCCAGCCTGACCGTCCAAACGCGGGGACCTGCCTGGGTCATGGGTCTCTCTGAGGCGGCGCAGCCCCGGGCATGGTCATGGCCCGACAGATACGAGAGTCCCAGAATCCTGCCAGCTTCCTGGGGACGGGGCCTAAGGAGCTCCACGCGCATCCACGCGCCCCCTTCCCCGTCGCTCCAGCCCCGTGCAGGCCCCTCCTCGCTCTCCCCAGCCTGGGTCGCCCTCTAGAGGCTTCCGCGCTGCCTGCTGGGGTCGGGCCGGGAAGGCCTCCAGCCCCGCGGGCCCCGGAGCAGCGAGCCCGGACGACCAGCGGCCTCGGGGGGCTGCTCGGGGTCCCCCCTGCCCTGCAGAGGACCCCAGGACGAAATCCTTCCCGCCGCCGCGCGCTCCGACGCCTCCGTGCACGCCCGTGCCCACGCGCGCGCCGCTCCCGCCCGGCCTGCGGCCCGGACCCCGTGGGACCCGGCGCGTCCCCAAGGTCCCTCCGCCCGCCCCGCGCGCCCCGGTCGCCCACAGGCCC